TGCTAACTGGTGTTCCGTGAGTGTAGTACTGAAATCAACCGTAAACCCTGCCCTCAACCCAAAACCCAAAACCGTTCAGGGCTTACAATAAGACATCCTTCAACTGAGGATCCTACTGCGTAGGGTTCTATATCAGGGCTTTAGGGTTTAGGGTTTAGGGGCTTCTCAGTTTCTGAAGCTCCCTCCTCCACCGGCATGAAGGGCTCCTTGTTGAAGTCGTAAACTTCCCGCCAGCTCTTTCGCCGGAAAGCTCCTCTTAGTTGTCCAGTATCAGAAGAGAACCAAAGGTTGACAGTTGGGATGGAAATGGCATTGAAAAAACGGTTTAGGGGTTTAGGGTTTAGGGTTTAGGGTTTAGGGTTTGGGGACCAAAAACAAAAAGGTTAAAGATCATGTGCTCCACTACGAAGTCCTGTCTTCAGCCACGCGTGAGAGAGGATGAGGCAGAGAAGGCAAAGCCCCCCGAAGGCAGCGTCCAGCATCAGGACCCAATGCCAGCTTTCACTGCGCTCATCGTAGCCGCCGGTCATCCGCAGGCCGACCATGAGGCCACTCGTCCAGAGGCACTGGGCGGTCTGAAACAAGCACGCGAAGGTGATGTAAACATCTGCCGAGGTCATGTAGGATTTCCGGGGCAGAGAGTCATTCACGATGTAGCGGTATGCAACCACCGCAAGGAAGCAAGTAATTAGGAAGGAGAGCCTGCCAGAACTGTAGTGTGGCCTGATCGCGAAGGAGCAGAGACTGATGATGTTGATGAGCATGACCATGAAGGCCACAGAATGGAAAAAGAAGTCCGGCTGGCGCTGCACGTGCAGTACGACGTTCACCAGCGACCTTTGGGTTATCATGCCACCTGGGAGGTGCTCGTCGGGGTGCCGCACGTACACAACACACTGATGGTCGGGGTCGACTTCCCACATGTCCTGGATCTTCGCCAGTCGCCTGCTAAAAGCCCTTTTGGATCCGAAATGGAACTAATACAACGGATGGCCTTCCAAGCCTATTCCTAAGGAACACCAAGCCTGCAGGTGTCGAGCGTGATGAACTGGAACTCCTCCACCTGGGTTCTTGTTAAGGAACTTAGTTTACATCACCATCACAAGGAAACTCTACAGGTTGCTATAATATCTTTTTTTCAAGCCTTAAAGAAACCCTAAACCCTTCAAAGAGCCCTCAAAGAAACCCTTAAAGGAGCCCTAAAACTTTCAAGGAGCCCTCAAAGAAACCCCTAAACCCCAAAATTTAAAAGGAGCCCAGCCACGGGCATCTCGGCAGTGATTTTCAGTCGGCAGAGCTGGCGGTCCACGGGGAAGGTGTTCAACTCCAGCGGCTCCTCTTTGGGTTCCGAACTATAGGGTTCCTTTAAAGGGATCTGTAAGGGTTTAGGGTTTCGGGTTTTGGGTTTCGGGTTTTGGGTTTAGGTTTTAGGGCTTCGGGTTAGGGTTCTGAGTGCCTTTCCCGGGGCTCCTCGAAGGTGGTGTCGTACCGGACCCTGCACTGCACGAAGCCGCCCTCCTCTGTCTGGTTCTTAGGAGGGAATGGGGGGAATGGATCCCTGTGATAGCCGCTTAAGGTCCCCTCCTAAACCCTAAGTCCCTAAACCCTAAACCCTAAACCCTAAACCCCTAAGTCCCTGAACCCTAAACCCTATGATGGTAACTTAAAAATGAAACTCCTTAGTTCCCTAACCCCTAAACTCTAAACCCTAAAACCCTTAAAGGAAACCTTAAAGGAAGCCTTAAACCCTAAGTCCCTAAACCAAAAGTCCCCTCACCAAGGGCCCAGAACCCCTACGATAGTCCGTAGAGCCCCTAAACCCTTATAGATCCCTTATAGATCCCTTATAGATCCCTTTAAAGGAACCCTATAGTTCGAAGTCCCTAAACCCAAAGTCCCCTAAACCAAGGGCCCAGTCCTCGTTGCACCAGAGCAGCTCGGGCTCAAAGGCCTGGTCCTCCTTGGCCTCCTCGTCGAAGACCTCGCTTCGTTTTTTTGGGGTTTTCTGGGGTTTTTTAAGGGTTTCAGGGATCTTTAGGGCTCTTTAGGGTTTTAAGGATCTTTGGGGCTTAGACCTCGTTCTTTTTTAGGGGTTTGGTAGCGCTTTATGGGTTTAGGGCTTTAGGGATCTTTAGGGTTTTAGGGTTTTAGGGGTCTTCAGGGGATCTTTAAGGATCTTTAGGGCTTTAGGGCTTTAGGGCTTTAGGGCTTTAGGGTTTCAGGGTTTCAGGGTTTTGGTATGTTTTTGTTTTTTTTGGAGATTTGGGGTTTAGGGTGTGGGAATCTGGAACTAGAGAATTAGGAATTCGAAGGCAGTTGGGTTCCTGTAAGGTTTCGGGGGATGTCGAGGTTGAGAAGAAAAGGGATTCTTAGGAGGAAGGAACCTTAGAGTTTCGGGGTTTAGGGGTTTAGGGGTTTAGGGGTTTAGGGTTTAGGGGTTAGGGGTTAGGGGTTTAGGGGTTTAGGGGTTTAGGGGTTTAGGGGTTTGGGAGCTTCGGGTTCGAAAGGCCTTGTTCATGATGGTGTACTTGGGGAAGAAGTGATACTTCCATGCCGGCGGATGCAGGTAGACATACCTTAGTTGCTAAGTTCACAAGCATAAAAACAAAGTGTACACTTTCAGTTCTATTAAGGATCATATTATCCCAAAAAGTTTCAAAGCGTACTCAATCAGCTACTAAGATGCTCGTCCTTCTTGGCAGTCCTCCGGCCATGCCGATGTGGGAGCTCCTCATATGTCAGGGTGCCGTCGAGATCCAGGCGCCGAACCACCACGTCGATCTCTTGGATGTAGGGCACGTCTCCCGGTGCATCCGGCTTCCGAAGCACAAGCTTCGACGGGAAGTCTCTCAAATCAGGGTCCTGCGGTTTGGGAATGATTAGGGGTTTAGTTCATGGAGAGCAAAGAAAAAAGAAACAAAGCTCTATCTAGGCTTTCTCCCCAAGTCCCCCACTACCCCGAAACAAAGGGTCCATCCACCAAAGCTGTAGCACGAAGACGAGCCCAAACTGCTCCCGCGCATCGTCGATCCGTTTCAGATCGTGGGGACGGACGTCCATGTAGACCTTTTTGGCACCGGAGCAGTCCACCTGGCTTATCGTTCAGGGTTCAGGGTTTCGGGTTTAGGGTTTAGGGTTTCCCACTGTTATGCAAGGCTTTGTTAGAGGATTAGAATTACAAGGCTTTAAAGGGGCAGCAGGAAGCCTGATTCTGTTTCTGCAGTGTGTTGCGAGCTTCTTGCAAGAAGCTGTATGAATTCTGAAGCTGCAACTTCACCCTAACCCCCTAAGTCTTACCCCTGCCCTGAAACCTAAGCCCTGGCACGCCTTAAAACCCCTGAAGCCTTGAACCCTCAACGCCGCAAACCCTAAAACCTCCCTAATGCCCCTCAATGATGACATGTACCTTACACTAAGAGCCCTACAAAGTCGAGGTATATCCCTCGCTTCGCACTTCAAGATTGACCAACCTAAGAGCTCCTAAAGAACCCTGAAAACGAGTACAACCCATGCAATAGAGCCGCAAATGATCTGGAAAGCCCTTATCAAGGCGACCCCGTAAGATTAAGCTTCTCGAACCGCTCCCCAGCTCGAGTTCTCGGCCCCGAGTATCTCAAAAAACGCAAGGCTTTGGGCCATGGCTTCGGGTCTGAAAATCGTCACCGCGGCACGAGGGTTTAGGGTTTAGGCTTTATCATGGCCGCTTTCGCAACTGAGGCTCTAATTCTCAAAAGACTGGACCTAAAGCCCGAAGCCATGAACCCTGCTCCCCAACACCCGGAAGCGCTGAAACCCTAAACAGCCTTAGAGTTAGCTCTTCTACCCTGAACCCTCTAAACGCCAAACCCTAAACCCTCTGAACCTAAAACTCTATTCTAGGAGTATGAAGGTTACGAGACCTCGTCCGGCTTGTAGTAGGTCTTAAGCAGGCCGTCCTTGCGGAAGCGCCCCTGAACCTGCGACAGAGGGGTTCGTCCTTTTAGGGGTTCCTTTTCAGACCCTAAGAGCTCCTATCACGGTTCCTAGGAGGGTCCCGGGGCTTGAAGTCTTTCGGTCCAAAGAGGAAATCGTTTGAGGCCAAGGTATACAACACAAGATAACTAATAATTACATAGTACGGCTTGAGCACTTGGGTTGAAAACGTCATGCAGCTCTGTCTGTGTCCTTGCGAAGTACAGCAAAGGTCCTCTAACCGCGTCCTACGTCTCCTACAGCTTCTTCGGGCTCAAAGTTGGGCTCATTCCCTAAACCCTAAACCCTAAACCCCTAAGCCCTAAATTTAAAACCTAAACCCCTAAACCCCTATGCCCGGCCGGATGCGCGGGCCTTCCAGTTTTATTTTCAAGACTTGAGGTTTCAGATTGTCAAGCTTCAGGCTTTAGGGGTTTAGGGCTTACGGTTCAGTGACAGGGTCTTGCAAACTGGGTTAGGTTTTGGGTGGAGGGCTCAGATTCCCAAAGGGTGCAACATAGGCTCCCCCAAGAAGCAAACTAGGACAAAATGGGGTTGTGGAGTATACTATCGCATAATGGTTTAGGGTGTAGGGTTTAGGGCGAGTATACTATGGTATAACTTTGAACCTCCAAAGGCTACACCCCGAAACCCCTCAACCCGAAACCCTAAACCCCTACACCCTAAACCCTAAACCCCTAAGCCCTAAACCCTGAACCCGAAACCTTAAGCCCTAAACCCCTAAACCCTACACCCCAAACTTTAAACCCCTAAACCCTAAACCCGAAACCCTGAACCCTTAAACCGTTTGGGGTTGGATGTTGGATTGAACTCAAGATTCAAGTCGGCTTGCTCCTCCACCGGAAGGTTTTCAAGAGGCCTCGGATGTTTTCCGGGAGCTACCCAGAGAACCCAATACCCCTTAGTTCAGGAATATACATTACATTATAGGGGCCTTAATAATCTGATTTAAGCAAGATTCCTTAATTAAGGCGTATTGGGTTCTCTGGGTTTGTGAGATTTCATGGCCAAGCTCTAAGTGAGGGTTTAGAGTGTGGGGATCGCCATTCAAGATGTCACGGCATTGGGTTTAGAGTTTAGGGCTTGAGGTTTATTTGGGGAATTTGAGCTCCAGTACAGCCATAGGCTACGTAGTCGTCGCCGAGGCTTCGCAAGCCCCTGCTGGAAGCTCGTTGGGGGTGTCGGTGATAGAAGCTTCGATTTAAGGGGGATTTCAATTAAAATGCTAGGTAATGCTGCCTCCTTGCAGATATCGTCAACGACATCCTCCAACGACTCTGCATCAAGGTTGCGCAAGCCTGACAGAGAGACCACACACAAAGTTTGGGAAAGGAACCTCCAAATGATTCCACCCTAAACCGCAAACCCTTGTCAGAAACGTGCAGACTTTCTGGTACCTTTTGACGGCATTTCCCAAAAACCCCCAAACCCTAGGTACCTTCTTTTGGGCTTTTTGGGGCTTAGGGATTAATACTTTTCTGGTTGAATGCAAGTGCCGATGGCCTTCGCTGTCGCTGCTTCCGGAGTCGGACCCCGACTGCGCGAGGATCATTCGTGGATCCATGGTTCGTGATGAAGTGAGCTTTTGAGACGGTACACCTTGCAATAATTGTGGGTCAACGACAAACAATTGCGTTACACCTTGCATGATGCTTCAGGGAATCTCGATGGCACATCTTCGAAGGGGTATGTCGCCACTGACATGATGCTGTGTAACGAAGCTGAGATTAACAGCTGCAGCGGTCACACAGCAAGACTGTGGCACCGGTCTGGAGGGGACGAGACGGCACTACACGACACGATACCATGCAAATGCCACTGCTGACCAAAACCCATCGCCGCATCCAACGACAGCAACTTGGCATGGTGTGCTACAAGGCCAACAACCCCCAAAATTTATTCGCAACGATGTATTGACGGCCGTTCCGGGGCCTAGTACACTTTGACAATTTGGCCAATTGAGCAGTATGTCACCCCTATCCACATTCGTTGCGGTTCAAAGTCGATGCTCTTGCTTCCAATGTCGACTTGGACGGCATGTTGCTCTCCTGTGGCAGAACGGCCTCACAACCCGACTTAATAGATACTTGTCATCCAGCACAACAACCCGCACAAATTGCAAAGGATCGAATTTCGCTTGTCGTTTGCTGGCAGCCATTGCAATGCCTGTGTACATGCTTGGGCTTTGCTCCCGAGCCCCGATATTGGCACGTCTTGTTTTGCTCGGTCATGATACCGAAAACAAGGAGCGCCAATCGTTTCAACTCGACAAGCTGCGCGAAACGGAAGTTGAACCGTAGTTGCGATTGAACATGTTTATGCACCACAAAATAAACATCAAAGAACGCATCGCATGCAAGCTGCCTAAACTGCACGATAGCAGTAAACCCCACTATCACTACAACTGATGAACAACACACAACATCATACAACACTGGATAACACGAAACCGTTCCATCCACTACAAACTTTGTCCCGGACACATTCTAGAGACGCTAACACTGCTCTAACAGCCTCTCAAAGCACTCGTTTACCATGTTGGATCTTTAAGCTGTGCAGCTGGCCCAAAATTGCCTGTGCCCGGTAGAGCTGCACGGCAAGCTTCCATAGACGCAAAGCCATGATGGTGATGAGGCTGACAAAGGCTGCATGGGGTCAGCTGCGCATGGGACACGTGTGATTGTATTCCATGCGCTAAACTCCAAACGGCAATAAGTCCTCCGAAGACTGAAAGTAGACACAAAGAACGGGAACACAGACGACACAAAGAAGCAAGGGAGACACAAAGGAAACACAAACACGGTGGACACAAAAAGGACACCAAGGACACACAAAAGAAACATAGAAAGAATTGCGTCCAGTGTGATGTAGCCCCCATCGGTGCCAGAGTTTTATGTACGGTGACAGATGCGCGGTGGCATTGTCGTTTTCCATGTGTCCCATTTTGCCTTGTTTTACTTCTTACAATACTGTCTGCACACAGTATACAAATTTTGCAACCGAATTCAGTACCCATGCGCGGCGGCAGGCGACGGATTTTGACGGACATCTTGCAGCGTCACGCTCCGCCATGCCATGGAAGTATGCTTGAAATAGCGCCAATCAGTGTGCCCACATGATTTCGGCAATAACCATAGGAGCAAAATGCAACTCCTGTTGAAATCGCCTCGATGGAGTGGCCCACAGTTTTTGACAGTTTGGCGGGTTCATTAAC